TACACACTTTTGAACGATATGAAAGACCCTGTTTTGTTTGTTCGTGTAGACAAAGGAAAGTTCTATGTCTTTACAAAATATTTGAACTTCTTAGACAGAGAACTTCAAGAACGCCATGTGAAAGTTTAGATGAAGTTCTTCTCCACTTTCAGAAAAACTTTTAAATATATGTAAATGGCAGAAGACATAGTGGTTTATACTATTACGACTAAAAACCCTGAGTCAGATAATTCTATAACAACAAACTTACAAAGTCCTCAAGGACGATATTGTAAACTAACTTTAAACACAATGACGACTAAAGCCTGTTTTTGCTCTTTTGACACCAGAAGATTTTATTGTTGTGAATGGTAAAAAATACTCCTTTGAAGATACTTACTCAGATATACCACCAAACAGGTTTTGTTGACTTATTTAATACTTTAAGTACGGGTGTAACATGTGCTGCAACTAGAGCAGGTTTCATTATGTTTGGATGTCCGACTGAGTTTACTATAAACAATATGAGCTATAATACAAAACTTATATCTGGTTTTTACTACCAACAATTTCCTATAACAGGAAAAGGTGTCATACAAGGAATGTCTGTTCCATTGACTTTAAGTACACCTATTTTATATATTGTTTCAAACTTAGGTTCAAAGTGCTATTCGAATGTCGACAGAAACTACTATGACCAAAGATACTTATGCGTATAAACAATACTTTCTCTGCTGGTTTGCCTATTGTTCATTCGAATGCAGAGTTTTCAGCTTTAGTAAACTCAAACACTTTAGCAAACATAAACTTAACCTTAGTTGACGCAAACTTTGTTCCTGTAAACTTTTATGTCCTATGTATTTGTCAATGACGGCAGAAAGTTTCGAATTGGAAGATGCAACTGGTGAAAGTATTGTATTACAAGAACAACTTCAACAACAAATAGCTCAAGAACAACAAATGCAACAAATAGCTCAAGAATAAAAAAATATTTTTTTTATTTTTATAAAAATGTACAGAATAGATGTTTCAGATTTTTATGACTTCCAAGCATTCAGAAATATGTGTCCATTTCGAGACTATAACAAAGCAGTCGAGAATTTGAAACGTTTAGTCATTTATGTCGACTCTGCCCCAGAATGTTATGTTATGAAAGAATGGGATGTAGTCTTTAACAAACCTAAAGCGACAATAGTTTCAGAACAAGAATGTAAACAGAAACTTAAGAAAATAAAAGTTGTACAAGTTGGCATGAAGATGTTAGATGCTTGGGATATCTTATTGTCAAAACTTGAAGATTTTTCAGTTCGTGGTATAAAGTTCTATACACCTTCTCCAAACTTCTATTCTATCTTCACTGGATATAAATATGAACAAGTAGAATGGAAAGAAAATATTATAGAAGCTTGGTTAGACCATGTCAAAGAAATTATATGCAATGGAAACGAAAAGGTTTATGAGTATATCTTATGTTGGTTTGCAAACATCTTACAACATCCAAGTGCTAAAAATGAAACTGCTCTCATTATAATTGGAAAACAAGGAACAGGTAAGAACACTTTCTTTACAGATATCTTATGCAAACTGTTAGAAGGTTATTCGAATCCGAATATGACAAACTTAGAAAACATCTGTGGCAAGTTTAACTCTTCAATAGAGAATATGAAACTTATAGTATGTAACGAACTTCAAAGTATAGATACAACAAAAGTTTTGAACTCAGATGCTTTGAAGAGTCTTATAACAGACAAAGTTGGAGTTGTTGAAAGAAAATATAAAGACCAAAGAGTTTGTGAAAATGTTGCAAATTTCATTATGGTTTCAAACAATGCTGTTCCGATGAAGTTAGAAAGTTCTGACAGAAGATATGTAGTTGTCAGAACGTCAGATTCTCATATGCAAGATACAGAATATTTTGACGACTTAGCAGAAACTTTGACATCTGACTTTTACAACCACTTGTTCTCATATTTTATGACATTAGATATTTCAAAGTTCAATCCAAGACAAATTCCACATACCGAAGAGAGACAAACATTGTTAGAAGCAAACAAGAGTGTATATGAACTGTTCATAGATGAAACTGACTTTGAGTGTTTAGATGAAAGGTCATTGTACGATTCGTATAAACAATATTGTCAAGAGTATGGTTATATGACAGCATCTAAACGAACATTCTTGGCAAATGTCAAAAGTCTTTTAGACGTACAGAATGGTGTATATACAAAGAAAAATTTTTCTGAGTAAATTTTAAAAAAAAATATTTTTTTTATCCGATAGAAAAGATGACAGAAAAATTAACTTTTTACATAGCGCCAAACCCTTCTTGCCCACATCTTTTCAAGCCACAATATATAGACATAGAACTAAATAGAGAAAGCGAAATTCCACAAACAGAAGAAACATATAGAGACCTAGATAACGAAAATGGATATGCGCTATTCTGGTTAGATTGTCCTTATGAAATGTATGAAAAAAAGGCTTTATATGAAGAATATAGAAAATATTGTCATGAAAACGATATAAGACCAAGCTCTAGAGAAAAATTCTATGCTGGTATAAAACATCTTTTCGAAGTTCTGAATGGCAAATATAGAAAGAAATAATTTTTCTGAGTAAATTTTAAAAAAAAATATTTTTTTATCCGATAGAAAAGATGACGAAATTCATCTCAGTCAACAAGTACATGTCAGGACTTAAAGAAGAACTAGACCCATTCACATATTTGAATGTTTACTTCTACCATTTTGAAAAGTCTTCATTTGACAAAGTTTGGAACATCGAACCAGTTAAGTTTGCTATTGTGACTAAAAATGGTGCGAAATTTGAAGACTTAGACATAGAAGGTTTGTTAACAGTCAAAGAAAGTTTTGACAGAAGGTTCTCAAACCTTAAAGAAGGCAAAGCATACAAACTTGTTATACCTTATGAACCAAAGAAAGCAGACGACTATGAATATTATGAGTCTAAAGTTGTAGAAGTTCAAGGTAAATTGGGTAAAAAGATTTTAGAGTCTAAGCCAGTGTTTACTCCTAAAGAGGAAGAGAACATTGACATTGACCCAGAAATGTTCTAAAAATAAAATTTTATTTTTACATGTCATATCTCCCCTTCTCTGGAACTGGTTCTTTCTTCTCTTCTTCTACTTTCTTTTCTTTCTTTTCTTTCTTCTTCTTCTCTGGTGGAGATATGTCAAATTTCTCAGAACCATATTTATGTAAAAGTTCTTTGTCCTTTAATAGCTCATCTATTCTGTTTTCTATTTCATCTTCAAGAACAGCGCATGTGTCTTCTTTGCATTCTAAGAACTTTTGTTGGACTTCATCTTTCCAATCGGCGTCATCTCTGTCAACAAGTCTGTCATTGACAAATTTTAAGACTGCTCTGCTTAATGTTTTATGGTTCTTGTCATATTCCCAGAAACAGAACTTTAGAACAAATTCTCCTTTCTTGTTTACACTATGTAAGATTTTATGGTCGACAGATGTTTTGCTGTCGAAAAGCTTGTCTCGAATATAGATGGCGAAATCGCTAGACATTTTCTAAAAGATAAAAATTTTAATTTTTCTAAAAATATGTTAGAAAAAAAGTTTGCTGACATTGACAAGAAATTTGAGAATGTTTTAAACAAGAACAAGGTGAAATTAGAAAATGCTCAGATAAAACCCATACATGACAAGTTCTTATTTGCTCAGAATGGTATAACAGGTCTAATTGCACCGCCTGGGTCGGGTAAGACTTTCACTTATCTTAAAATGGCTGCACAACAACAAGAACTAGATGAGAAGAACCCATTCTATGAGTTAGTTGTCATTTGTAGTACTTCTGGTCAATTTGACCAAACCGTAAATTCGTTCAAAGATATTATAAAAAAGTCTAAGTTAGTATGTATAAAAGACTCTGAGTTGTTAGATTGGATAAAGAAGTACCAAAGAAGAGTTTTGAAGTACAATGCTATAAATGAGTATATAAATTCTAAGTTTAAAGACCCAAATGAGGAAATGCAGAGAATATTAGAGAAGAAACACTTCAGAAACAAACAGAAAGAGATAGAATACATTTCGAAGAAATTGCAATCTTACGATTGGAAGACTTACCCTCATAGATGTCTTCTTATTTTAGACGACTTTGCATCTCATCCTTTGTTAAAGAACAGAGAACAAGATATGTGTCGAATTCTTAAGAAGCTCAGACACTTTAACATCTCAGTTGTCATTTGTGTACAGACAGCAAAGAGTTTAAGTAAGGATGTAAAGAGAATACTTACTGACATTGTACTTTTCCCCGGATTGTCCGAAGACGATTTCATGGAACTTATGAAAGAGTCCATGGCAGGTAAGTTTGACAGACATGAACTATGGGAGAAGTACAAAGTCATACAAGACCCTCATACTTCTTTCAGAATTCATATCTACGCGAACAAAGTTCAAATTGTAAAAAGTCAAGCGTAAAAAATGTAAGTGTTTAGTCTTAGTCTGTTGTGGTTCTGCAGCTTTCGGTTCTTCTGGCTTTGGAATGGACTCGGTTGGTGGTACGTCGGACATTCGTTTGTGTCCTGTCGGAAGGAAAATATTTTCCTGTCGGAAGGAAGAGTTCTTCCTGTTGGAAGGAAAATTTTTTCCTGTTGGAAGGAAAATTTTTTCCTGTCGGAAGGAAAAATTTTTCCTGAAGTTCGACCAAAAAGTTCTCAATTTTCGAAAATTTGAATGGTTTACGGACGGACAACTGGAAAAATTTTTCCTGTTGGAAGGAAAATTTTTTCCTGTTGGAAGGAAAATTTTTTCCTGTTGGAAGGAAGAGTTCTTCCTGTCGGAAGGAAAATTTTTTCCTGTCGAAAGGAAGAACTTGGAATGCCAGAAGGAAATTTTTTCCTGTCGAAAGGAAGAACTTGGAATGCCAGAAGGAAATTTTTTTCCTGTCGGAAGGAAGGACTCGGAATGCCAGAAGGATTTGACAAGACAATTTACCTTATAGAGCTACCTGAGCCATCTGAAGTCAAGCTTGAAAAATAAATGGTTCATTTACTCTGCTTGTTTGAAGTTGTCAAAATACTCTGTTATTTTTTCCTTTAACAATGGCAAATCTTCTTTGAAGGTAAGTATTGTACAACCTTTAATATCATAGTGTGTTTGAGGTAAAGTATCTTGAACTATTTGTTTCACATCTTCATTTGGTGTCATTGAAATCGGTAAGTTTTCGCGATAGAACCAATTTCTGTCAGATTTGTAAATCTTAGCAAGGTCGTAAAAGCTTTTGTTGTTTCTTCTGACTAAATGCAACATAACCATATCTCTGTCTTCTTCATTTTCCATCTCTTCAGTATAAATCATATACTTATAGTTCTTTTCCTTTCCTTTTGGTACCGAACGTGGTATTCTTTTCTGTATGTTTTTGTCTTTTGCTTCAAGCTTGTTCTCTAGCTCTTCACGTTCTTGTCTATGAATTTCGTCAAGAAGTCTGTAAATATACCAAGCATAACGAGGCGAAGCCCACATTGCAACAGCATTTACAAGAAGTCTATGTACATACCAGCCTCTCAAACCATTTGGCAAATTTTCACGATTTTCATAGAGTTTTGGCGACTGGGGTTTTTTACCTACTCGCTGTTCTTCACGATTTTCATGAGTTTTAGGCGACCCCGAAAAAAGTATGTCTCGCTGTGCTTCATTTAATAGTTCAATAGTGCTTTGGTTCCTAAACCAGTCTTTAGGAAGCTTGGTATCTGGAGCAAAACATGCTGTCAAAATACTTTGCATTTGGTACATGTCATCTTTGACCGAACGAATGAGACGTAACTGTTTGTTATACTGAACCCACTCGTATTCTTCATTTATGTCTTCATGAACGATAGCAGTTGTTGTGTTCTCTGTTGTTGACATATCTGTCCTTACATACAAAATAAAAAAAATATTTTATAAAAAATTAGCGTTATTTCCTGACTTTCACAAAAGACCAAAAATAAACGCTTTACATGTATTTTTCAGCAACTTCGTCAAATAATTTTATAGCACTATCTATCTCATCTACTTCAAACGTTTCTTTACCTTTTATGGGAGCACCATACATTTTCTCAAACTTTTCAAGCAGTTCTGTTTCAGCAGCTCTCATATCGTTAACGAACACAAACTTAACTCTATTGACTGTACTGTCATATCTTTGAGTTATATTATATGTTCTTCCTATCTTATATCTCTTTGTATTGAAGTCCTTCGGTTTCTGAACGATGTAAAGTAAGCCTTCACTGCAACGTTCCGTATCGAATGAACCACGTGTTATGAAGTTATATCCAACAACTGGGTCTAACCATAACAAAACTATTGGTATAAGACTTTTGTCGATGAGATATGCTGCAGTTCCATAGAATCTTACCGATATCATAAGCTCAGGATTTCTTGTCAAAATTTTCTGAGTAGAAGCAGTTCTAACCCAGTCCTTCGGTTTCTTTCCAGATGGAGATATAATGTCTGACAAAGAATATTTGTTGTATTTCTTTGAGTATCTTACGTTTAAATCACCTATTCTAACCATTTTGGTGTCATTGTCTATCTTTCTAACTGTTTCAAACTCAATGTTTGTCATTTTCTGTCTTTACATACAAAATAAAAAATATTTTTTTAAAAAAACTAACTTTATTTTTTCTATCTTGTATAAAAGATATGATTTCAGGGATTTTTTTTACGAAGTGCAAAAGTTCTCTTCGTCAAAAAATAACAGTTATATAATGAAATTTGGTCATTTTTTCACGATTTTCGTACGGAATCTCGTTCCTCGGTTTTTCGAGGAACGCAAACATATGAGGAAATTCATGAAATTTGGTCATTTTTTCACGATTTCAGGGATTTTTTTTACGAAGTGCAAAAGTTCTCTTCGTAAAAAAATAACAGTTATATAATGAAATTTGGTCATTTTTTCACGATTTCAGGGATTTTTTTTACGAAGTGCAAAAGTTCTCTTCGTCAAAAATAACAGTTATATAATGAAATTTGGTCATTTTTTCACGATTTCAGGGATTTTTTTTACGAAGTGCAAAAGTTCTCTTCGTAAAAAAATAACAGTTATATAATGAAATTTGGTCATTTTTTCACGATTTCAGGGATTTTTTTTACGAAGTGTCAAAGTTCTCTTCGTAAAAAAATAACAGTTATATAATGAAATTTGGTCATTTTTTCACGATTTCAGGGATTTTTTTTACGAAGTGCAAAAGTTCTCTTCGTAAAAAAATAACAGTTATATAATGAAATTTGGTCATTTTTTCACGATTTCAGGGATTTTTTTTACGAAGTGCAAAAGTTCTCTTCGTCAAAAAAGAACAGTTATATAATGAAATTTGGTCATTTTACTCAGACAAAAATATATTTTAGGTGTCACCAGGTCCCTCGGTCCCTCGGTCCCTCGGTCAACTAACATCTTTTTGAAAATGGTGACAACATGACATTTTGACAACAACACAGGAAATAAACTTCTTCGTATATGTTTTGTCAAAACTTCATCGTCAATGAGCGTAAATCAGACAAAAATATATTTCTACCATAAAGTTTTATAAGCGTTTTACATGGTATATGTTGTGATGGTTCATGACTTTAAACAGTTTTGTAGCTTCTATTTCTTCTTTTAGTACATCGAATGTTTTAACAATGCCGAAAGTTTCTTTATATTTCTTCTTGACATCAGATAGAAGGAAATCGTCAGCTGTTGGATAGTTTTTGTTCAGAAATGTCAACATGTCCATTTTATCTTCTGCTGGTTTCTCTACTTCTTTCTTTAAGTCAGCATAGTCGTTTCTCATACGTTCTATCTCTTTGACGGAGTAGTTATATTTCTTCATTGCTGCTTTACATTTTGAACATTGTGGGTTCATTTTAGCATTGTACATTGAAACCTTACCTGCTAAAACAACTAAGGCGTAAATGGTTTTCTTTAACTCAAAAGTTGCGGGTTTTATCTGTTCATTCCATACTTTACCTCTTCTATCTTTATCTCTTATCTGCCATACACATTTTGCAACTAACAAAACAAAGTTGTCGTAGGTCTTAAACTCCCCAGATTTATATATGTCAATGAAATATACCATATCGCAGTCTTTGTCCATGACTTTGTGGTTGCAATGAAATCCAAGAAACTCATAGTTTACCTTTCGTATGAACTTCTTTATTTCAACTGAGTCGGTTGGTCTGACTTCTATTTCATCGAATTCAGGAATAGTGAGCTTTTGTTGTTGTATTTCAGGAAGTTTAGGTAGATGGTCAATAATATCCTGCATTTCATAAAGATACTGTTCATTTGTTTCATCTTTTGCAGTGCAATCTAAATCTCCTTGGAGAAGTTCCTGCTTTATCTTCTGGATTTCTGTTTCGAAAGTATATGAAGAAGGAATGAAGCTTTTCATTTCTACTAACATTGAAGTTGGGTTCATGACTAACGAGTTTGGTGCTGTTGTTGCTAACATGTTCTTACAATAAAAATAAAAAATATTTTTTTAAAAAAACTAACTTTATTTTTTATTTCGGGAAAATTCATGAGTTTTGGTTGAAAAATACGGTGAACCAAAAGTGGCTCGACCTCAAAACAAGCATTTTGTGAAGAATATACCAACCGCCAGAATTTCGACGGTTGCTTTTTATACAAAATTCAACGGGTGAAAGAATACGAAGATGAAGTCATGACAAAAACATGTACGATGAAGAAGTCATGACAAAACATGTACGATGAAGTCTTGACAAAACATGTACGATGAAGTCTTGACAAAACATTTACGAAGAAGTCATGACAAAACATATACGAAGAAGTCATGACAAAACATTTACGATGAAATCATGACAAAACATATACGATGAAGTCATGACAAAACATATACGAAGAAGTCATGACAAAACATTTACGTTCATGTTTGACAAAACATTTACGATGAAGTCATGACAAAACATATACGAAGAAGTCATGACAAAACATTTACGAAGAAGAAGTTTATTTCCTGGACTGTTGTCAAAATGTCATGTTGTCACACTTTTTCAGAGAAGTTAAAATGACCGAGGGACCGAGGGACCGAGGGACCTGGTGACACCTTCAGTTCTTCAAAACATATACGAAGAAGTCATGACAAAACATTTACGAAGAAGAAGTTTATTTCCTGGACTGTTGTCAAAATGTCATGTTGTCACACTTTTTCAGAGAAGTTAAAATGACCGAGGGACCGAGGGACCTGGTGACACCTAAAAACCATCTACCCTAAAATATATTTTTCAATACTTTTTCAGCACTTTTCCGTAGTTATATATGAAAGACAATTCGAGATAAAAGTCATAGTACAATGGTATTATATGTTGCACACCATTTGTTGTGAACCAAACTTGAAAGTCAGAGAAACTGTTACTAGGTGGTTCGTAGAATTTAGAAGCAAAGTCATAAAAGTCCTTGCCAATACATAGAAAAACTATTGTTGCTTGAACTGAAACTTGCATGGCACATAACATTTTGAGGGTCAAACACGTTTCTATAAACTGTCAAATCTGCTGGTGGAAGTATAAATTTAAATGGACCATCTGGTGGTAATGGTTCGTTTCTGGTTTAGTAACCGAAGAAATTGTGCCCAAGAACGTTTGTCTACTCCCCAAAATAAAACTCTGTATCTCTTGGAGGGTTAATTTCAATCTTTTGAAATGAAACGGTGGAGTTCATCTTGTCATATTCTAGTTTCAGATAGTATGTTCCATTTAGTAAAGAGTCGTATTTTTCTTGAAATTCCCAATAGTATTTGTTCATTTGAGTTTGAAAGTCATTTAGAGTTTTCTCAAGACTTTCGTCTGAACGAACTGTAAAGATCATTTCATCAAATTTGTCTATTAGACCATCAGAACCTTTATACTGCCCATGAAAATATACTGCGAACATAAATGCGTTCGTTCTATTTGAAAACAAAACTCTTCTAAATCCTATTGCCTTTGCATCTGAAGGACTTTGAAGCCAACGAATTGGATAGTCAAACCTGTATACTCGGGATGAAATTTCTTCATCTGAAATAGTCCTACCAGCATTTGTAAAGATATAGTCTAACGGTTTTGTATCTGCTACTTTTGTTCTTTGTTTTTCAACCTGAAGCATTTAATATATGTAAAATATATATTGTTTTAAAATGGTATGCCATATAGCTTCTTGAATTTGTTAAGAAGTATTTGAACGTATTTTCCATCTGTATCTCTAGTGTTTACATAAGCATAGCCTTCCTTAGTAAAATATACTTGTAATTTCCTATAGTTTACGCCGGTATAAAAGTAGAAAGAGTCTTGTTCTTCGCTATAGTAGTAAAACTCAAACGTATGCTTGCCATAGTCTGTAATTTCAATTGTTTCATCTTCTAGTTCGTCGACAAATTCGAATACAATATCTCCAAATTTGCCTTTGTTCTTATTGTTTTCAGAACGAGTGACCCAACGTAAGTTTTCAAGTCTATTGTCGTTTCTTATATGGTTTATATGGTCTACAAAAGGTAAATTGTTAGGATTCAGTATAAAATGAGTTGCAATGACAACATGTTTAAAATAGTGTTTTCCACCCATCTTCATCATAGCATATCCGTTATTTCGCTCCCATTCGCTTAAAACTCTTTTTG